TTGAATTATCGTTTCCTGAGACCAACAGCTCCTTGATTCTAGTGAGGAGAGTGCCAGTGTGTTTTTTAGAAAGAGAAGCCAACGAACTAAGACGGAAAAGACATCCTGTCACTAAAAGCATTGTGGAGGTCAGCTGTGGAGATGGGTGAAATTGTGATACTGAGTCTTGTTCTGTGTTAATGGCCCAAGTTATTAGAGTATCTGTTATGAGAGAGACAAGTCCTTTGGCAAATGTGGGTGCCATCCCTTTTAGTAGCTAAATAGTCCTATAACTCAAATCCCTGAAGTATAACAGAAACTGTAAGACACTGTTTCAGACTTGGACTAGTGGAGAAGCTAAAAATAATATATAGTGCAGATATTTCAATACTCTAGGGCTCATGAATGCTTGAATGAAGAATAAATGCTTGAATGAACAGTAAAATTATTAATATTGCTGATATAGAAATATTATTTGTTAGGATTCAAAGTTGTTTTCATGAAATCTCTACATGGGCAGTGCAGCTTTCTAAAAGCTGCTGTTCCAGATATTCTTCAGTTTGAGGAAGGAATTGCTGAACTGATTTCTTGCAGTTTCCATTGTAAACAATTCTCCACAATCATAACTGTTTCGAGGACTCCCTAAAAATTATTTCTGGAGTACCCAATTCAGCCACTAGGCTGAGCCATTGTGAATCAGTCCAGTCATGCCATACATCTCTTCTGATATGAAAAGAAGAAACAGAGATGATTAATCTGGTTAAATTTTCTTTTCCAACCTTGTTATATTCAGGTAGAACTCAAAATGCACTCTCCTGGTGTGATTTGGGAACCAAGAGAACTAAAAGTGCCCGAGGAGGCGATCAGGTCTTTGCCTCATGAGCATTCATTCTTAGCTGGTGCCACAAGATCTCATGAGCATTTTGGTGGATTTAATCTCTAGTCCTTTTTATTTTATTTAGGACTGGTAGCACCTATTCATGATTGCTTATGAATTCATTGCATTTTAGACATCAGAAATTAAATCCACATGGACTGTTATCCAAAGGAGAAGGTTCAAAGATAACATGCATTCATTGTACCCTTGACTTACAAGAATTCCATTATATCCATTCTACGAAGAGGGAACTGATGCAGAGAGAAACAGAGTGATTAGACTAAATTCCAGTAAGATATTGTGAGAGGTCAGGACTTGCACCTCTATCTTCCACACTGTGGTCAGTGTAGTATCAACAGCATCATTTTTCCTGGTTCTGACAGTTACATGTAAATTATACACAGATGTGGACAAAGTGGGGTATGGGCAATAAAAGGGAGAAATAGCAACTGATGATATTACCTTTTTCTTTCCAGGAGCTTATTCAAGAACAAGTTGAGGTGAGTTGCTGTCTGCTTCTAAAGTTGACTGTAGCAATGGAAAGCTTACTGCAACGAACCAAAGGGAGCAAGTGTGTTAAGCCTCAAATGAGAGAGGTGAACTAGATAATCCACGAGCTTGTCCTCATTTTTAATTTCCTTTGTGTTACAGTTCTTCCATTTTCTCATGTTAAATGGAAAGTAAGATGATGTTCCCTTACTAATTTTAGCTAGTGCAGACCACAGGAGGAGGAGCACGAGGGACACTGCCTCTGACGTTTCTGAAGGTGTTAGCTTCCCAGGCCTGTCATGGTAGGGAAACTGTACTTTTCGTTTGTTATTCTTTCTTTTTTTTTTTTTTTTTTAAAAAACCTTTCTGTCTCTACACAACATCTTCCCTGGGACAGTGGTTTCAGAATGTGTTTGCGGGAATTCCAGGATTACAGACTGTGTGTTTCATAGGGATGAGGACAGCACTGTTGGGGACAAACAGTACTGCTGTGATTTATTCACGTACAGGCCTAATGTACTTTCAAACCTTCACATGAAACACAGATAGAACACAGTTCTGAGATGCACTCATCCCTGTGAGCTCTAAACTATTCAAATAACAGCTTTGTGAAGGGGGAAGAGGAGTTGCTGGAATCGGCTTGAAAGCAAGCAGGAAATAAGACGTTCTTCCCCAAAAATATTTTTTATTTCCTATAAGTATCAAAAGTGCTAGTTTAAGTATGCCTGTGACCTTTCAAGTATTTTTGGAAGGAGTGCAGTAATAATTGACATCTTTTAAGGTACTATGGCTTTCCAGCACCTGGAAATGAGCAGACCTTTCAGGTGACTGCAGTAGCTCCAGCCTCTTGTGTCAGTTCCTGTGCCATATTCAGTAGTAACAAGAGTATGCTGAAAGGGTAAACATGAACCAAAAGCATCTGTTTCCACAGAGTGTCACTGCATTCTACAAATGGCAGACAAGATATATATTTTTTAATATCTAAAAAGTTCTATGGCTGAAAGGCAGATTGCAGATGGTCTTGTGCATCTGTGAAGGCTAAAGGTTGCAAACACCTCTGAAATGACTCCTTAATGTTCCCCTTGGATTCCCTCTGGATGCCATTAAGCGCTCAGTTCTGACAAAGGACTTATTGGCAGGGCTAACACTTGGTCTTGGAACTGATGCCCATCAGCAGCAGGCACACAGAACTGATAAAGCCTTTGGAACTGATATTAGCTGTTGTCTTGATTTAATACTGTTTGATTTGTGAACTGGTTGTGTCTTCATCTGTAACACAAAAAAAACCCCAAAACCTATTTGCCTGTTGCAGCGTCATCTGAAAAGCTAAAACCTAATAATCTTACCATCCACCAGGCTTAGGTTAGGTGAAAGTTGAGGCCACGGAAAGCGGATCCTTACGCAGCAGGGTGGTTAACTGAGCTAAGCCCTAAGTCTGCCATACTGCAGCCTCCCAGCTAAGCTTTAGGAGCTGCCTTGTTTTCTGTTGAAAACCACAGTTGTGGAGGCAAGTCTGCTGGGTGGTTTGAATTCTCTTGAGCAGCATGTGCAAGAATTTGTATCTTTTTTTCAGGAGCTATCAAGTTTAATGAGCCTTTGACTTTGAAGGAGAGCTGCAGGCTTATTGAAGCTTTGTCATCTTGCCAGCTGCCCTTCCAGTGTGCTCATGGAAGACCTTCCATGATGCCTCTTGCAGACACAGACCATCTACAGCAGGAAAAGCAGGTACTGTGTGGGACACAGATGTGCCTCTGATAATCCATACCCTGGCCTATCAGAGGCATGTCACGTATGTGTGTGTTAGAACTAGAATGGGCCGGTTTGAAACCATCACCACTGGCTGCATCTTACTTGAATTTTTACATAGCTGTTACCAATAATGAAACTTTAGAACATTAAACCTCTGTCCTGCAAACACATTAGCAAAGAATTTACCATATGTCATTTGAATGGTCACATTGACTTGAATGGGGTCAACTAGTCCTTAAAGTTAAACATGTCTTTAAAGTGTTTGCAGTTTTTAAGTGTAAAACTTAGAAAACATGTAAATTCTTATATTCTACTAATGGCAAAGATGCTAATAAAATTTCTACTTCCAAAAAGTGTAAGATGCTATAAAACGGGGGGGGGAGGCACAGAAACAGCAACATTTAAATTGAAAAAAATAAAATCATTACTCCTCTTTTTCTGTTATTGTGCTATATTAAGTTATGAAATTGGATTCTGTTGAAAGTCAGCTGGGACTTCGAATTAGATATTAAAAAAAACTTGGGAATGACTGTATTAGGGCAGAGTGTGGAAGCATTGAAGCTCATTCACTTAATTTTTCTTCCTCCAGCCTAAACCTAATTTGGCTAGACTGCGGAAGATGGCACGAGCGTGGCACCTGTTTGGAAAAAAAAGACCCTAGTCAAAGCTACAACCACTGGAAGCGTTGGTATGATTCAGGTCCCCCTGGAGCCAGGTTTCTGAGCCAGTGCAGTCACTGAAGTTTTGCTCCGAGTACTGACCTAAGCAGCAGAGAGTGAGGAGGAGCCCACCCTTTTAGCCTGGAGAAGCGTCTTCAACATTCAGGAATTACATCATAAGCCTGGGCCTTACGTCAGTGCTTGACTATCGGAGGCAAGTAGTTGCAACCACTCGCAGTTACTAAAGTGCTTTTTCTCTGCAAGCACAGCAAGATTCTGCATCAGAGAGAGGAGACTTTAATTAATGTATTTTATAATGCTTTGAAAATGGGGAGGTATTTATTAATAAAATTAACACTAAACTCTTTCCTTGGGCTCGTGGCAGGGGTTGGAATGAGGACTGACCAGCTTCATAGTACACATAGGCCAGCTTAGGATCAAAAAACATTCTTTTTATTTAACTAGGCAATGAATGACACACCCAGCTGTTTTCTCCAGCTCCCTGCAGTTTGCATTCTTGAGTGAGACATTTCTAAATCCTAGCATAGCCCCACGTTCTTAGGGTACAAAAACTTAGCCCCACAGAAATAACTAAATAGCCCCTGGCATTCTTTACAATAGGCATTTTTTTACAGGTTTCAGTTCTATTTTGTGTCTCAGTTTAAGGTAGACATCTTTGTTTAATCACAGACATCTAACTTAAAACCAAATCAGAGAGATATTGACATCTGCTAAATCAAAAGCAAACAAAGAGAGGAAACTACTTTCATCTGATGCCTTAACTGTGGTGTTGCCATACACTGATAAAAAGAACTAAGGAAAAGCTTCTGCCTAAGATCTGCCTGATATTTCTAAGACGTTCTATGCTGCCCCTCACAAAAATCAAGAACTTTCTGGATCAGACAAGTCTCCACCCAAGAAGAATTGCAGTCAGTCAAGCAGTACAGGAAAGGAAAGACAGAGGTGAACAAGCCAGCTGACAAGACTTCTGAAGGTCTGCTTTTTATCAAGAATGGAATTCCATGGTACAAAGAGCTGGTTGGTATTTCAGCAACTCACCAAAAATTGTCAAAAAATTCTACCAAAAAAATCTATTTTGAAGAAAATTGCCAGTGGATTCCTATCACGTTCATGTGTGAAAGCACACCTTAAAGCCTGCTCCTGCATCATAGGTGCAGACAGCTCACCACACTGGTAAAACTCCTGCTAGCTAAAGAAATAAAAATAACCATATCTGGGAAACATGCTTAACAGCGAGATCACTGTAAACAGCCTTTATTGCAGCATACTTTGAAGTAACAGCTCAGCTGCCCCAGAGGGTTACACGTCTGCTTTGCTGTTTCAAAATCAAAGCGGGTCAGCAGCTCCATGTGCTTCTGAGACAGCACAGGGATCAATACCTGTACAAGAGCTCTGCCTTCTGTTGCTTTTGGGTAGGAAGGACATTGCTGAGCAAATTCCCCACCGATTCCCCACAGCAACCCATCTTTACGAAGTACACTTTAATTAGCTGCTGTATCTTTCTGAAGAGAAAGGCAGAAAGAGCCTGAAGAGTGACGTGCTTCATGGCGTTAGAGTTCATAGTCATCTGGGTGGTAGAGCTCACTCATGAGGCGGTAGATATAGGACGGTGCGTTACCCCCAATGTTAGAAATGAAGAGTGTGATGAGCTCTGGAGGGACGTAGTCAAACACTGGGCAGTGAACATTGATCTTTGCCAGGATCTCCCCTGTAAAGTGAACAGCAGCAATATTAGACAAAGCAACTCAAAGTACATTTAGCTCTCTGCATATCTTCCTGAGCCCCTGAAGAAACTGGCTATGCACATCCCACCCCGAAGTCAGTACCAGAACATCCTGAATGCTTTCCAGCTTCCTCACTGAGGCCACTGAATTAAAGGTATACAGCAATCTTGGATGAATGGCAGCACTCTCTTGGTAGATTTTACGCCTGAAGAGTGACATGCTTCATGGCGTTAGAGTTCATAGTCATCTGGGTGGTAGAGCTCACTCATGAGGCGGTAGATGTAGGACGGTGCGTTACCCCCAATGTTAGAAATGAAGAGAGTGATGAGCTCTGGAGGGACGTAGTCAAACACTGGGCAGTGAACATTGATCTTTGCCAGGATCTCCCCTGTAAAGCGAACAGCAGCAATATTAGACAAAGCAACTCAAAGTACATTTAGCTCTCTGCATATCTTCCTGAGCCCCTGAAGAAACTGGCTATGCACATCCCACCCCGAAGTCAGTACCAGAACATCCTGAATGCTTTCCAGCTTCCTCACTGAGGCCACTGAATTAAAGGTATACAGCAATCTTGGATGAATGGCAGCACTCTCTTGGTAGATTTTACTGATAAAAACTCCACAACCCAGATGTAGATTTACTAATTGCCAAAAAAACCCCCCTGCCATTAGAATACAAGAATTCTGATGCTGCCAAAATTATTATTTAAAGAAAAGCTTGGATGGCCAAAACCAAAAAAACGATGCCAAACCTGGTATCTCCATTTCAAAAGTCTTTGTCACATAGAAACGGGGCTTTGAATGAGCCTTTGCTATCTGAAAATGGGCTTGGGAGCTGATGCCTTTCTAAAGATGGTGCTTGTGTGGGAAGCCCACTGCAGAGACAACAGGTTTCAACAAGTGGATCACATAACAAAGTTTCAAGAAGTTAACATTTGAGTTGTAGGAAGGAAAGGAAGCTGCCCTCAGTTTTGGGCATCTGCTCTGTCCCACAAGAAAATGCCACCTGCTTGGCATCATTATCACAATCCTGTAATAAAACACTGACTATTTCAGAGCAGAAGCAAAAGTGCAAAGATAGTGCTTTTTCCATACTTTCTGTAATAGAAAGTTACGTGTAAAATAGGATGGTTCCCAGTACTATTTTCTACTTAAGCACTAGAAAAGGATTTTCTGTCCTGGGTTACTGGTCAGTCTTATGTTTAAACTTTATGTGAGCTATTAAAATTTTTTTGTAAAGTATAGCCTGAACCAGCTTGACCAGTCTGTATGAAGAAGAACCAGTACCTTCTGTGAACGGCAGCACTTCCTGTGGTGACACAAACTTGTGGAATGAATCTTCTTCATTAGGGAACTGAATGAGAAAGAATACAAGAAGGTCAAGAGTTATCTTAGTGAAACCAGATCCTGGGTGCTGGAAGAAACTAAGGCAGAGGAAGACAACTCGCCAGGTGATACTACATCTGTTTACAATAGAGTGCCTGTGCCTAGAACCTCTGCAACGCCTGTGGGTGAAGGGTTTTTCCTCAGAGCTTTTAGAACCTTTTATGACCTGGCTGCCATTCTGCAAAGCCAAGGGAAATGGAGCAGAGAAGTTACTTCCTCAGTCTGCAACTTCACCTGACAATACTGAAAAAGTACTGAGTGTAAGAAACAGCTTAGAGCATCTCCCTCCTCTGTCAGTACACAGGGTCTTTCAACACCAAAGATATAACTTGAGACCTGCTGTGGATGAAGAAAAATAAGTATGGTGATGTCAGTCTGTAGCAGGCAGCTGTCTACACTCTTACACCCAATGCACTGCTTACTCAGCACATGGGGATCTGACGTGTGCCAGATTTGGCTGAGGATCTCTCTGAAGTCAAAGCGCTAGATGTGGCAGATGGCTCATTTACCAACCTCTCCCTGGGACAGATGGTGCTCCCCACCCTAAATCCACCCCCATCTCTGTTGTAGAGGAGGTGCAGTCCTGAAGAGCTGCTGTACTTACCTGGGGTGAAAGCTTGAACATGGGGGCACAGACGATGAGCGGAGTGGAGTGGTGTTTCGCTGCCAGCGCCAGAGTGTGAGTCCCACTCACAGCAATCAGGGCACCATTGGCCAGGATTGTCTTTGTACCAATGATGACCTTAAAAGGCAAATCAACATCAGATAGCACGTTCCATGGCAAACTGGGGAAGGAACGCTTCCTGGCTCAGGCCCTGCTGGATGAGGACTCTGTCAGAAGAGCCAGCCAGCCAAAGGCTGGAGCTATAGGGCAGCTGGATGCCTGATCTGTTTCATCTGGCACTGGCTCTGCACCGAGACGTTCCTCTCTAACAAGAGCGTGACTCCAGCATGGTGAGGCCAGCTCAGAGAACTTCAGAGGACAAATGTATGTTCTACTGCAGGGAACACCAAGTAGAAACTGGGCTATGTTCCATGTTGTTCTACTGTCCCTGTAAAATGGGAATAATGTAATGCAGCTTAAAATATATAGATAAGTGGTGTGGCTGGATTTTATGATGTTAGAAGCACTTTTTTTTTTTCCCCATTTTGGGGTGCCAAGTTTTTATCTCTAAAAGTACAGAACAGGTCTGTTCAAAAAGACACACCTTGGTGATTCCTTTCCCCATCCATCTTGTGTTCCAAGCAAGGGGAGTTTCTCCCCTTTGGAAATGCTGCTTTTGGTTCCATCTTCTTTAAAAACTGAGATTAATCCTCTGAGGGTCTCCTGGCTTGCTCTTGCTTTCTTGTAACTTTTCTGCCTGTTAGCCAATAAGGCAGAAAAACCTATCACCGTGTAGTTAGTCACCGTGCTGACTTGGGGTTCCACACTGAACTATTACAATTTTGAGTCAGTGAAGAACCACGTCCATCACTGCTGGGACCTGCAGCCGGTGTGGGAGCCCAAGCACACAACCTGCCATGAAATCCCTCCTCCACCGGAGCCCTCCTTACCTTGTTGACTCGAGACATGACAGCAAAAATAGCTGCATCGCTCATGACGGTAGTTTCAATGTTCTCTTTAGATAGTCGGACAGCCATTTCGTGACCCTAAAAAGAGGGAGAATCCACTTGGTCCCCTGGGACGTATCTCCTGCACTGCAGGTGTAGAGATACCAGCAATCAATTCTTGTCTGAACTGCAAAAATAGCAGGCAGTGGAGCACAAATAGAGCCCTGAAGGACGCAGGGTAGGATAATGAGCTGCCTTCAATCTCTCCACTGCAGAGGAACTTTGTAACGTTCAGCTTGTCTCCAGAGACAAGAGCTAAGTAAACGCACGAGACAACGCAGCGCCTGGAGAAGACAACCAGCCTGGGCCTCACCTGGCAGAAGGGCGCACACTCGGCCACGATGACCTGGAACTTCCGCTTGCGGGCAGCTTCCTTCAGGAAGGCCTCAACGGTGCGCGAGTAGCCAATGGTCATGATCACCTCATTGGAGTGGATGTGCTCCAGCGCCTGCATGGCAATGTTATCAGTGGTGCCCTCTGTAACAGAAGGAAGCTGTGAGTGGACAAGCAGCCCAGGAAAAGCAACACGTGTGCTGTTAGAGCTGTCCTCCAACAAGATCATTTTTTACTAAAGTGATGCCATGGGCACTAGTAGAGCAGAAGCAGCTTTACTCCCCATTATTTTTACTGGTGGAGAGGGACCAAGAAGCTGATCTTGAATACCCCATGCTCCCTTGCTACTCACAGAAATAGCTGTATTGAAAACTCCACCATGAGGGGAGTGGATTGTGTGTAGCCACCATTCCCACACAACCAGTGACAGAAATTCAATGTTTTTACAGCTGAGTAGCACTAGAACCACCTGGAAAGGAGAGACAGGGCCACCTGGGCCTCAGAAGAAGAGTCAGGTGCCTGATCTGTCACAAGATCACAGAAAAAGAAAAACGTATTGTAGTGCTTTGTCCACAAGGGTCAGGTTACATCTGCACAGGGATTAAGTTCAGCCTTGGCATATTTTTGATACTCTTCTTCAGAGGACTCAATTTATGACTTCCCAGAAGACCAAAAGCCCCCCCAACTTTTCCCTGCACAAGCCAAAGAGGACTTAGTTAAACTAAGTCCTGGGAGCAGCAGGACTTCAGTTCCTTCACTGCTTCAGTTTAAGCCTCCCACGTCCTTACTGTTTTCTTTCCACCCAAGAGGAGGGGAAAGCATGAGTCCCAGCCCACGAGAAGGTCCACTCACAGGACAGTTCAGACCCATCTGTACCTAGCTCTATTAGCAGCTCGTTAATAGCTTCAATAACGTTAGATCTGAGGGGAGGATAAGGGGTGCTGAAATCCTCGCTCAGTCCTCCGGAAGTCAGGAGTTTGTGCAGGGATTCTTGCTGGTCGCTCTCCTCACTGCGCCCGTGAAGCCTGCGGAGAGAAGCAGCCCTTCAGCCCTGGCAGAGAGCGCGGGGGGGATGGCCAGGCCCAGCTGGATGTCAACATGAGGAAGGAAAACCCCACACAGAAGGCCCACCACGCCACGCCACGGAGCTTCCCTAGCTGCCTCTGGGGATCATCAAGTCCAACCATCTACCCTACTCTACAAAGTTCTCCCCTACACCATATCCCCCAACACCACATCTAAACGACTCTTAAACTCATCCAAGGATGGTGACTCAACCACCTCCCTGGGCAGCCTATTCCAGTGTCTGACCACTCTTTCTGTGAAGAATTTTTTCCTAATGTCCAGTCTCCTCTGTTGCAGCTTCAATCCATTCCTTCTTGTTTTATCGCTAATTACCTGTGAGAAGAGACCAGCACCAACCTCTCTACAATGTTCTTTCAAGTAGTTGTAGAGAGTGATGAAGTCTCCCCTCAGCCTCCTCTTCCTCAAACTAAACTGTCCCAGCTCCTTCAATCGCTCTTTGTAGGATTTGTTCTCCAGGCCCTTCACCAGCTTTGTTGCCCTCCTCTGCCTCAGCTTCTCCTTGTAAGGGAGATGCTCCAGGCCCCTCATCATCTTCACAGCCCTCTGCTGTCCCCTCTCCAGCAGTTCCCTGTCCTTCTGGAACTGGGGAGCCCAGAATTGGACCCAGTGCTCCACATGGGGCCTCACCAGGGCAGAGGGGCAGGATGACCTCCCTCGACCTGCTGGTGACACTCTTCTTGATGGATCCACCACACACCCCCCCAGGCAGAGTTTCACTGGAGGAAACGCCATCAGCGACACTGAAAATGGCAGGTGACACTGGATCGCTCTGCGGGAGAGGTGATGGCAACTACGGGGGGTCTCAGGGCAGCAGCACAGACGGGGCGGGGGGGCTGCCCGGGGCTCCCGGGGGGCTCAGGCAGCGGGAGGCCTCACCTGCCGTACTCTTCCCGGATGACCTTCAGCACCCGCCGCACCATGTTGCCCACCGTGGTCTCGGAGGGCTGGGCCGCCGTCATCCTCCGGCCCTCCGTCCGGATCAGATCCATCAGCTCCCCTGCAAAGCGGGGAGGATCCCGGTTACCGCTGCTCGGAGCGCACCCGCCCCACCACGGCCCCGAGGCGTTCCCGCCGCTCCCCCCCCCGCCGCCCGGCCCTCACCGGCCCGGCTCCATCGCCCGTGCCCGATGATCTTCCGCAGCAGCGACAGCGTCTGCCGGGCCGTGTCCTCGGAGCGCGGCCGCTCCCCGCCGCCCCGCAGCCGCGCCACGAAGGCCTCGATCTGCTCCGACAGCTCCGAGCTGCGCTCGGCGGCGCCCGGCATGGTGGTGATGGTGGTGATGGTGGCGGTGGCGGCGGCGGCGGCACCGGGGCGCCTCACGCACCGCTTCCGCTTCCGTCCTGCCCCTTCCCCATTGGCGGAGGCTGCCAAAGCGCTCCTACCCCCCCCGGCGGCAGCATAGCCAATGAGAAGCGCGGCCGGCGGGTGGGCTGCGGCGGGGGGGGGAGGGCGCTCTGGTAACCAAGGAGACGGGGGGTGACCCCTGACCCCCCCGTACGGGGCTTGAGGGCCGGCGGTGGCCGGGTCTCGTTGCGGGCCTCGGTACCGGGGGTGAGGTGGGCCGGGGGTGCCAAGGTGTCGGATCCGGCCCCGCTTCCGGCGTGGCTCTCCCCGGCAGGGCTGGGGAGGTGTGTGCTGGCCCGCACGCCGCCGTTGACGCCTTCGTGGAGGGGAAGGCTGCAGGCCGGCGTCAGGAAGGGCCTGTGCTAGGGAATGCAGCGTGGGTACGGCAGGGAGGGAGGCAGGGAGGGAGGGAGCCGGGTCTGTGCCGAGCAGCAGGGAGAGCCCGTGTGCAGGGATTTACTTTGGACCGTGTGATGTTCTAGATGCAAAGAGCCAAAGCAAATGAGGTGGGAAAGGCGCAGTTCCTGGCAGTCCAATTGTTCCTGCTGGCAGAGCCAGAACCGGCCCTGGATAAGGCAGGAATGTAGCTCCTTTGTGTCTAGTTCCTGGAGCTCTGTGTCCAGGGAGCAGGCAGGAGCCGCGGTGTAATTTTCATTGCAGTGCTGCTTTACTCCATGGCTCTGCTCTGTGTCCTGTTGTTTTAGATTAGGAAATCAAAGCCAACTGGTTTTTGCTAGAAGCTTTCAGCAAGTGCTTCCTGAAGGGGCCTTTAGGGTCTTGGGTGCTCATCACATCTTTTTTGTGCTTGTCTGACTCTTCTAGGGCTTGCCCTACAGCCAGCTGCCATCACCGGCCTGTTTGATCCCCAGCAAGTTACCAAGGGCTGGAGCACTGGGTCTTGAGGATGTATTGCATCCTCCAGATTTGTGCAGGGTAATGCAGCAGCATCCTCCAGATTTGTGCAGGGTAATGCAGTTCCCCCTTTTTTTCCTCTCTGCACAGCTGTGTTGCAGGCAAGGCAGGGGAGGGCTGTCTGTGCCATCGGCTGCCTGCCACTGGCCATGCATTGCCATGTGCCAGCTGCTGTGGCGTGCAGAGACTGCTCCCACACAAGCTCCCTGGGACTGGGGCATGCAGTGAATTGGCAGAAAAAAATAATAAAACAAAATAAACCAAAAAATGATTGCTTTGGAGCTTTCCTTTGTTTGTTTACTTATCTCACTAGTAAACAGAGCAGCTCTTGGAGATTAGGCAGGAGGGAGAAGAGGAAGGGAAACCGGACTCTGAGGTTATGACCTCCTTGTGGATGCTGGGCTGTTTACATTCCCTGCTCCAGTCCCAGTAACTATTGCAGGGCAGTTTCTTCTCAACGCTTTTTCAGGCTGCAGGGGTTTTTCCCTGCTCGTGCCGTTCCTGCCCTGTTCGCTACAACACTTTCCACTGGGCACTGCTGCCACAGCTGGCCAAGGACTGCCAGCAGTCCTGTGTCCCTTGAGGGGCAGAGTCCTGCGCTTGGTCTGCTGCCTTGTATTTCATGAATGAAAGGCTGTGAATGGGGATTTCAGGAGCTATTAGCCCCGTGGAGCTGAGCCGAGCCAGAACCTGCGGCTCTCTGGAGAGCTGAAAGGCAAACCCCGGGCTCTGGCTGCTTGGAGGGACTGCGGCTACAGGACATCTGGTTGTCATTAGCCAGCAGCTGCCACCAGGAGCCAGTCAGTTAGACAGGGAGTGCCTAGGAGGGATGAAAAGAAAGGAGTGAGGAAGAGGAGTGGCAGCAGAGGGAGCATGGGGCAGGTGGGGAAGGCAGCTGGAAAGCTGTGTGTTGGTGTCCTGGTGTACTCAGCTGAAATCTCGCTGCCTTGCAGGCTGCGCTGGCCACCGTGGCAGAGGCAGTGTGTGTGTGGGTGCGTGTGTGCAGCCCTGGGCAGCTGGAAGGAGACTCACCTGGGTGGTCCACAGCTGCCATCTGTTACAGAGCGGGACCCCCCCCCCTCCTGCCACGGCCACAGGGAGCTGCCTCCTGCACAGCACACCCTCCTTCCCTTCCCAGGTGTATCTGGGTCCCCTGGGGCAGAGTTGGCCACTGTGGCTTCCCAGCTGGTGCATGAGCCAGGAAGGAGGCTGACACAACTGCAGACGGTGCTGGTGCTGGGGCAAAAGAGCTGAGCAGGGGATGAGCTGGTCAGCTGAGCAAGGCAGCGTGTTTTCTGGGCCTGCAGAGGAGTTGAAATGTGGCTCATCTCCGAGAGCTGCCAGCCTGCCCAGGACAGCATCCGGCTCTGTACCATCAGTGGTGGCTGCTGGAGACACTGCTTCCCTTCCACTCGGTGAATTCTGCCTCCCCAGGGGCTGAATGTCATCCCCCAAGTGCTTGTGTGAGGGAGGAGAAAGCAGGACAGGGGCTGGGTAGAGCCTGGGAGCACTGGGAACATCGTGTGCTGGGAGGCTGTTTGGATTAGAAGCTCTCGGCAGATAAGTGGGCTGGATGAAATGCCAGGGAGGGGAATCAGAGTTTGCTGAACTCTAGTAATTGGACTTGTCTGCAGCACCCGGGTAAGCAAAGCTCATGCTCTGTGCAGGCGAAGGGAAGGAGCCAGCAGGCGAGAGCCAGCAGAGCCACAGCCCAGCAGGAACACTGGGGCAGGCTGTCAGCACAGCATGGGATGTGAAGACTGGGTAGGTGACACAGGGAGAAGCAGTGTAGGGCCCTTGCTGGGTGCCAGAGCCACTCGCTGAGCACAAGTGACCGTGTTAAGGATAGTATGGTGTGAAGCACACGAAGAGAAAGATGCACCAAAGGTTGGTCTTTGAAAAGTTCATGCTTAAAGGCCAGAGGAGATGGCTCGAGCCCAAAGCTCTTACAGCCACAAATGTGGAGGCAGAGCTGCAAGGAGGGCAGGAGTGAATCTGCTGAAGGGCTGAGGGAGCCCAAACCAGTGTTTTCTGCATGCTATGGGGCAGAAAGTAGGTCACTTAGTAAGTGAAAGGGATGGAAATGACGGGCTGAACCGAGTGCTGAATGCAGGTTTAAAACTCAGGCTCCCGGGGAAAGAAGACAAAAAAAACCCAACCCCAAACAAACAGCTGGTGATCAAAAGCAGGTACGTGGATGCTGGGAGGCTCAGCCCTGTGGGTCTGGAGGTGCACGCAGACGTTGCCTGAGTCACCGGCAGTTTTGGCGTGCTTGGAATTCACAGCTGACGCTGCAGATACCAGGGCACGTGTTCTGCTGGTCCTCGCTGACGAACCTGGTAACAACCATCCCCTGAAGTGGTGGTCCTCGGGAAGGCATGGCTGCTGTAACCGCCTGGGTGGCCGAGGAGAAACAGGCAGGGCTTGCTGTGGGGAGTAACCAGATGGATTCAGCGAAGCCTCAGGTTAGTGAAGGAGTTGATGCGGCTCCTTGCTGAGCAGCCCGTGTGTACGTGCGCCTGCCTCTGCCTGGAAAAGGGCTGCTGGCTCATCCTCACGTCAGCACAGTGCCCACGGGCAGGCCCAGCCCGCAGCCAGACCCCTGTGGTACCGATGGACTCCATGATCCCCACAGGAAATGAGTAGGCAGTTCTGAATCCGGCCCAGGGACTGTCTCTCCTCGCCAGCAAGTTTGCCATTCACGCCCCCCTCCTTTTCGGAGCCTTAAAAATAGAGACCGAGGCCAAGAAGCCGGGAGGGTGTTTCTAGGGCTGGTGGTGGTGGAAGCAGCCCAGGCTGGGCTCCCCCTCGCCCTTCCCGGCCCCTGGGGGAAGCTGGCGTCCAAACGCCTCCCCTGGACGTGGAGCCTCACTCGTCGGCTCGTTCATTCGCGGCGGTTCCCCGGGTCTCCTCTCGGGATGCGGGCAGCTGGAGGCAGCCGGTTCAAAGGCCAGGCTGGTCAGGAAGAGGAGAGGGAAGTGTGGGAAGTCACTGCGTGTCATGTAGGAAAACAAGCCCCGGCGAGGGAGGAGGGAGCCCAGTGTGGGGCTGGGCGGGAGGTGCCGGCCCCAGCATCCCTAACGGAGCTCCGGGTCTCCCTACCCGGAAAAGGCGTTGGCTTTGCTCAGTGCCACCAAAGGCACAAGCGGCCTCAGGAGTCTCGGTGGCACCGCGCAGGTGGTGGCCGTGGCTGTGTCCCCGCTCAGAGGGCAGACGGCAGGCTGGCCGGGCCAGGGAGGAGGTGATGCCGGGGGTCCGTCCCTCCAGGCTGGCTTCAGAGAAGCCCCCCAGCAAACCCGGGGCGGCTGCAGGAAGCCGGGCTCTCAGGGGCGAGACAAAGCGTGGCCCGGCCGCTTTGTGGTCACCGAGGGGTCCGTGACACCAGCAGTCTGGGCTGTTTCCTGGTCACCGGCCAGCTCCCCGCAGTTCCTCCGCTCCCGCTCCCGGGGCCGCAGCTGGCCCCCCGGGGCTGGCTTTGCTCATTGTCTGCTGCCTGCGATGGCAGCTATTCAGTGGCTGCCAGGTTTCGGGGAAAAAAGAGAGAGATGAGCCACTCCTCCGCCCACGCTCTGGGAAAGCCTCCGGGATGAAGCCCTGCCGACACACACGTTCGCTCTCCCTCGGCAGGGAGACTGCCCTGCAGAGCCTGCGTCCCCCTGCCGCCCGCATCCCCCATCCTCATCTTCCCCCCTCCTTCATCAGCAGACGTGATGGTGGGGAGCAGAGCTTGGAAGCAGCCCAGGCTGCTGCCCCCGTCCCGCACAATAGCGGAGCCTGCTGCTCCCCCCGTCTCCTCGCCTTGTTTGCCTTCCAGAGCCAGGCAGAGTCTCGCCGTCACTATTATTTTGCTTTGTGTCAATATTATGACAGCTCGAAGCAGGAGAAACTGCATCCACACGATAAGCGGCCAGAAGCTCTGAGGCTGGGCGTGGATCAGGTTGGGTTTTTGGCAGGGGAGAGAAGTGCCTGGCAGCCCCTGCCCACCGGCTGGCCGGGCTGGGAGAGCT